CTTGTACTGCGTAAATTCATAAAATCTAGGTACCATAGAGGAAAGTTCATCGGAACAACGACCAATAAAGTATTTTTATAAAAGGCACAGAGACGCTCCGTTACGGTGGAAAGGAAAAAGACTGAAGACGATATACTCGACTTCAGATAATATATTTTGTTATATGATTACAAAATGTAAAACCCATTAAAATATAAGTTTTAAAAATTATCAAAATATAAATTTGAATTTTTCTCGTAACGTGTACTCGGTTCCATATTGCTTACCAATGACCTGTACCTGTCCAGTAACAGCAGATCGATGTTTGAAATAAAAATTAAAAAAAATACATCAGTAATTCATTGTCTCGAAAGTATAAAATTCTCTATGCCGATTGATAATAAAATTAAACTAATTAAAAAAAGATAAATATCACCGGCGCAGACATATTTAAAATTTTGTATGCTAAGGGCGCGGTGATATTTTTATTAGTTTAACATTGATTCTTGAAAATCCAACTTTATAATCCAATTTACAAATAGATATACACTTAGGAACTGTCTACACATTCTATTGTATGAACATTTCAAAGCGACATAAGCCGTCAAGAGCTGAATCGTTTTTCTTTTTTCTGACGGTGAGATAAGCTTCATTCTTTATGGATTATAACTTGAACTTTTGTCTCAAACTTCGTTTTATCATCATCAATATTCCCGTTATATGATTTAATTCATATCATCTCCGAATCTCACCAACCCATCAACATCTGATTAGTTTTCTTTGTGTTACCGTCTCCGTTTCAACAGGCAGTAATTGTAAGTGGAGCTGAAAGCGTTCTTATTCGACTGGATATTCTCTTATAACTTTCACCCACACTTTCTTTTTCGTCCAGCTCTTCTTTCTTTCTGTTTATTTAGCTACTGTGTTAGTCATGTGCGAATTGCCTGTTTCACCTAATCATCTTTAAAAGACTATTGTCTTTGAAATGCCTCCTAAAGATATAAAAGTCTGAGTGTGTCGGCTGATAACTATAAGAAGGAGTTCGTTAATATTAAGGGAGCCAAGATATTGTTTTAAACTACATGCCTCAACACGGCACACCTTAAATTTTTCAGTGTTTCAATAATGATATTGTCAGCATTAATCTTTTAAGTTACCCTAATTGATTGCAGCACCAGGCCTGCCACTGCGATGCCTATCACTAATGTCAGTTTCTCCTTTCTCTTGGCCTTAACGCCACTGAACCATCACCTTACTCTTAGGCGCATAACAGAAGTAGAGATGCTTATTTTGGTGGAATCTTTCCGACGCTGCGTGTTTATTATGACGCCATGCCACTTACATAGTAGTAAATCACCAACATTCCTTTCCTATTCCATCGGTGAGAAGGAACTTCCACTCTCGGCAGCTTCTTCTCACGAACCACTGCTCTCTATGGAACCGAATCCCAACAGGATGCTGTCACGATCACTACAATCTTAACCTGTTATCTTCCACTCCTAGACACATAAATGTCCCCCTTTGCCCCGAGTGGCGCCGCGCATTGTAAAGGCTGAACATCGATGTCAAAAAAAATAATTAAATGATTAATATCTATTATTTCCCACCCTTCAATCCCTCTCCCACAGATAGGATACGGCAAGCTTCTCGCTGCTCTAGCGCTAATTCAACGGAAAGTGCTCGAACGAACAACATTCCCTGGTCACACCGAGGCAAATATTCACAGCAAGAACACGCCGTACCACTAACATAGTAGTAAATCACTAACATTCATTTCCTATTCCATCGGTGAGAAGTAAGATTTATTCGAGAAGCTTTTTTCCCGCGAACCACTACCCTGTGGAATCGGCTTCCAACGGGATGTTTCCCCGATACCTATTCAAGGCTAAGGTTAATCGTTATCTCCTTAACCTATACACACAAATCGGCTCCTAACTTAACCCTCTTTCTCGAGTGTCCCTCGGGTTTTGTAAATAGTGACTCTCACTGTAAAAAAAAATGAGTACGTATTTAATTAATGCAAGCTTCTTCGAATTCTAATCAATCTATTCCAGCTATGTTTACCCGGGCTCTTCACTAAGGCTGGATGTGACACAAAGTTGTTTTAACGTGGAAGAGTCCTACTTATTCATATGGGTAAAGAACAAAAATTCTTATATTTTCTTTTTTTTTCTCTCTCTCTCTCTTCTCCAGCGACCACTGCCACGCTGGCTTCGGTGTTATACCGACCTATCGTCTTTAAGATGAGGAAGGTGCTGCAACATGGTTGGGATCCAACTTCTCCCACCTAAAATGAGGAGAAGCATAGCTAAGCTTACAGCGATAACCATGCTTCATTAAACGCTCATTGGCAATGATCAGAAAATGGAAAAATCTTGATGGAGCAAGATCGGGAGTTACAATATTGGTTTTGAAAAAACAATAAAAAAATAAAAATGTTTTCCTTTAGTGAAATTCTAAATTTTGTAGCTATTAAAAAAATTCCCTTTGTTGTGAAGTTATTTCGCAGTGGAGGCTTGTATTTGTACTAAGTCGGTCCTAAAATAGGTTCGACGTACAAAATGTTAGGAACTTGATATAATAGGTATTACGCAGAGTAATCTTGTTGTGGTCGCTGACTACTTTCGTATTCGACTAACTGTCGACTACTGTCGTCCGACATCGATGCTATTTAGTAACTGCCCCACGCAGTCACATGTTGGCACAAGGCCGAATTTACTGTGGGGTTCGCGAGACCGTAGGCTCGGCTAAAAAATCCCCGGAGACCCCGCATAAACGGGATCGGGTCTGTCTACCTCCCCGGACGAAATTCCGCCCTTCGGCATAGCCTCGTCCGGATTCCTGTCGTCTGACATCAAATAGTATTTAGTCACCCCCTCCACGAGGGTATCATCTGGCACAAGGCCGGTTTAATGTGGGATCTCCGAGCCCGTGGGCCCGGCCAAAAATATACCCTTTGAACCCGTATAAACGGGTTTAGGATCGGTTTACATGCCCGAAGGAGATTCCGCCCTTCGGCAGAGAGTTCAACCGTTCAGCCGGTCGTCCAACATCGACTGGATATTCAGTCACCCCCCACCACTAGGGCATCATGTGACACAAGGTCGGTTATTTATTGTGGGTTCTCCCCCACGGGCTCGGCCCTAAAAATATGCCCTTTGAACCCGTATAAACGGGCTCAGGGCCGGTTTACCTCCCCGAACGAGACTCCGCCCATCGGCGTAGCCTCTTTCGGGTTCCTCCTCGCCCGAACGCAGAGAGTTCAACCGTTCAGCGAGTCGTCCGACATCGACTGACTCTAGTTTCTCTTTCTACTCCTATTATATTAGTTGGGAGAGTCTATTAACTATAGAATAGGTGTGTTTCACCATAACACCCTTAAAACGACCCCGTCATGGATAATATGGAGAAATATCCGTCCTACCAATTACTAAAACACCTTCTTGTATTATGTTTTTGAGGATAGAGAGTTTACATTAATTCTAGCCATTCTATCTACGGTCACTAACCTCCTGTGGATGTTTGCAACACTTGGTCCTTCCAAAACAGAAATTCTATCAGATAAATTTGCTTTCTACATTTGTCCATAGGGGCAGTGATTGTTAAAGATTATATCAACAAGAATGGATATAATGAAAAGGACAAAAAGAAAAACAACAGCGCTAGGCGATTAGAAAAAAAAGAATATATTGGAATAGCAGAATGCGTTAAGTGGACATCGCTTCTCATTGATCAGAACTCCATCGAGGAAACTAAAAGTTGCTTCATGCCCGACCAACTAAAAAGAAAACAATCATGTTTCAATAATATATTGACATAGGATATATATATATAGTTTTATAAACAAATAACATAATTTTTACGGCCGAATGCGATTTGTTTATAGAAATATACCCGCCGTATTGTTCACACTTGTGTATTTTTTATGATTACTTTTGATTTAAAGCAGTTCATTAATATTACGGGAGCCAAGATATTGTTTTAAACTACATGCCTCAACACGGCACACCTTAAATTTTTCAGTGTTTCAATAATGATATTGTCAGCATTAATCTTTTAAGTTGCCCTAATTGATTGCAGCACCAGGCCTGCCACTGCGATGCCTATCACTAATGTCAGTTTCTCCTTTCTCTTGGCCTTAACGCCACTGAACCATCACCTTACTCTTAGGCGCATAACAGAAGTAGAGATGCTTATTTTCGTGGAATCTTTCCGACGCTGCGTGTTTATTATGACGCCATGCCACTTACATAGTAGTAAATCACCAACATTCCTTTCCTATTCCATCGGTGAGAAGGAACTTCCACTCTCGGCAGCTTCTTCTCACGAACCACTGCTCTCTATGAAACCGAATCCCAACAGGATGTTGTCACGATCACTACAATCTTAACCTGTTATCTTCCACTCCTAGACACATAAATGTCCCCCTTTTGTACATAAAAAAATTACTTTTCTCGATGAAGTTCTGATAAGCGAGGAATGATGACTTGTTAATTTATTCTGTTCTATTTCATTATTATTTCATCTTTTTTGTATCATCCCCAACCACCGAGTAAGGCGATAAAAGCTACGAAGTTGCAAAATGGTATTAAATAATCAAAGAAAGAGAGAGGAAAGGATTCAATGTATTCATTTTTAACGGCTTATCAACACTTTTGCAGGTTATTTAAAGCCAGAAAATATTTAATATTCTAACCATTTCTTTGGAAACAATAATGATTTAGTCATACATGTTGTGGCCTTGTTCGGGGCCAGAAATAAAGACACAAAGAGAGGAATTGCGTTAAAGAAATATATTAACAGTAATACAAACGAGAGTGTTACAGAAAGAATGTTCGGTCCGACTGTCAGAGCTGGCTGCTCAAAACTTCCCTCTCCACAAGGCAGCACCTGCTCCTATTTATAGCGGGAGGGGGAATAGGGGGATACATACCTTTCCTAGGGGTATTTGCGAACCTGACTGGAATTGGAACTCGGCTCCCCGATTAACAATTATCCATTACATCGCTCGACATTCAAACTTACGGTACATTCTATTCCCAAATGGTCACTCATCTAATTACTGACCAGGACCGACGAAGCTTAACTTCGATGATTGTACGGGAAGCGATGTATAAACTTGATGTGGCCGTATGTCAACAGGATTACAGGAAACAGTAGATGAGGATTGACATTCTATGTCAAATTGTTGTCAAGTGCTGTGGCCTTTTTCGGGGCCAGAAATAAAGACACAAAGAGAGGAATTCAGTTAAACAAATATATTAACAGTAATACAAACATATACAAACGAGAGTGTTACAGCAAGAATGTTTGATCCGACTGTCAGAGCTGACTGCTGCAAACTTCCCTATCCAAAAGGCAGTACCTGCTCCTATTTATAGCTGGGAGAGTCCATGCGTGTGCGGGTAAATTACCATAGACAGTAAAGCAGGAAGCCAGAAGAATTCACATTTCATATTGCCAGTTGTAGTTGTTTTCCCTTTTATATAAGTTCTTTTTGTTATTATTACATTTTGTTCCTCAAATACAGGGTTTAACAAACTGGGTGATATCGCCCACCGGTGGGCGATTTCAACTGTTGGGCGGGCAATGAGCAACTGAACAGAAAATGGTGGTCGGTTGGACATTTTTGTGAGCGATATGGGATTTTGAATATTATAAAGGTATTTCAGCATATGCTACTCAAAAAAAAAAATTTAAAGCATATATGCCTGTATAAGAACAAAACAAAAGAAATTAAAAGGTGAAATATGAATAATTGGGTCACATTCCTAGATAAGATATATACCGGGTGTAACAGCAAAATTGTCCAAATCATGTAATAGCAAAAATAAACTTCTCATAAAATGTTTAAAATTTAAAAAAAAAAAAAAAACTGAGCTTTTTTTTACAGTTTTTCGGAGAAGACATTTAGGCATTGAGACACCATTTTTTGCATGAATCACTGAAAAACCCTTTTAGTTATTCAGCTAAAAAGATAGCAGTTTAAAACTGGTTTGTGTCAGATCCACTGTCTTCCTAACTGAACAATGGTGAAAGGAAAAAGATCATTCAGGCTTTTAATAACGGTACCAACATTCATAGTCTGGCTTCCATCGTCAAATCCAGTCAAGAACCATCCAGAGAACGGTGAATAAGTTTTAAAAAAAAGATGGAATAGTGAAGAGAAAAACGGGATCAGCAAGTCACAACAGGAAGAGGCATCATCATTTCAACTTAGACCTAAAAAGATCAATTAGAAAAGATCCAACTCAATTCATAAGACATTTGGCATTCGATAGAGGAGTTTCAGCTATGACAGTCCAAAGATCAGTGAAAAAAGACTTGAAAATAAAATAGTATGTTAAATGTGTGAGGAACCGTGTCACTTCAGGACAGAAAATTACAAGGTTAGAGAGGTAGAAGTTCATCTTGAATAAGTTGGAAAATGATACTGGAATAATATAAATATATATATATATATATATATATATATGTTGGAAATTAATTTTAATCCCACATGAACTTCCGATCCTTAGCCATAATTAATTAATGATGAACATATCATTTTCGATTATCTTCGATTTCATCACGATTCTCCTATTAAGCTTGGAGAGCAGTTATATATTCTTATTGCTCAAAGTAGAGTCCAATAGTGTTATAAAAACCTCGAAGAATTCCAGTAAGATATCTTTAATCATTTCAACAACAGTTCAGAGCTTAATCTATATATATATATATATATTTATTGAACAATTTAGTTCATGCCACATTGATTGAAAAAAAGCCCTGCAACAAAAAAAATTCTCAAATTATCATATTAGTAAAAAAAAAAAATTCAACCTTAGCGTTTCGACAGCACGCTCCAAAATTTCTTATCCGTTAACAATAACACATTTCTAAAAATCATATTTTAATCGTTCGTGTCCCGCTACTACCTCGATTTGCTAAAAAACAAATTAATTTCCATGCCTGAGGATGGCTGTATGTGCCGTTGAAAGTACTAGCAGAATAAAAAAAAAAGACCTTATACAACTTGAAGTTATTAAAAGCAACGATCATAACATTAATCGAGTGGTTGGTAGGTTAATGTAACTTTAATAAATTTGTTTGCGAAGATTTTTTCGCCATTTATATCATTAACTTTACTAATCTACTTTTTGTATGAATGATTCATGTAATATATATATATATATATATATATATATATATATATATATATATATATTTTACAATGAATCATTCAAACAAAAAGTAAATGATGAATGTGATGATCCTTGTTTTTTTTTAAATAATAAACTGTATTAGGTTTTCCTTAAATATACAAGCGCTTTCGACAGCTTCACCGGTCATCATCAAGTATGGAAATTATTTTTTCTTTTGGTAAAATTCAGGTAGCATCTCAGACGAAAAAATATAATTCAAATCGAAATAAGTTTTTTTTTACTAATTTACTTTTTGTATAAATGATTCATTGTAATATAGATTAAACTGCACGACATATTCGATATATATATATATATATATATATATATATATATATATATATACCAATGATCAAATTTGCTTTCGGTTGTTTTTTTTGTTTGTTTTTTTTTTTTTTTACGATAATAGCAGCTGCAACCGCCACGTCAATTAGCGTTGTTTGTTACTCGCCTTTGGTTTTTTTTTTTTTTTTTTACTACATCATAAAGTCAGTTTACGAACCAGGAGAAAATTTTTACTGGTGGAAATTTTTTCGGGTAAATGTGGACGATGATGCAAAAAAAAAAAACATGTTGGAAGGCCTGCCCTAATAAAATCTTCAAAAATTGTGAAATAGATTTATGAGTTAAAAAAAAAGTACCTCCGCAATTTCCATTAGAATTATGGACATTGTGGGTTACCCGACATGTCATCACCGAAAAACGTCCGTTAAGCGGCGCTATTTTAAATCTATAAAAAGTCAAATATTTTCTCTCTTTTTATTTTGCTAGTACATCGTAGATGAGAACGCCCGTCGGGTCGCGTTCGTATCCCCTGTTTGATTTCGCTATAAGTATACATTATAAAATGTCGTCATCTCGCAGCCAAATATTCCGACATAATTTGAAAATTAAATTAACAGTCATTACATTTTTGTCGACTATGGTATATTTGGAAGATTGTCATAACTCCCTTTGCTTACCTTTATTTTCCTTTATCCTACTTTATGGTTGTAAATTTTGGCCTGAAAAAAATAAACATATTCCTTTTCTTATTTTGTAAAGATTCTTGTTGTCAATCTCATTGTTATCTAAGTACAACAAAAGCAACGTGGATTTATCAAAAGCATATTACTGAGTCTACCAAAATAGAGGAAGATGTGGAGGACCATGATCAACGACGTCCAGAAGGAACAAGGTACTATAAATCGATTCTTAGAATAGAAACCAAACCTAATTTATTGCAAATCCTTTGTCTATAACTCTTAATATGCAGTTTTCAGGACGCCAGCTGCAAATTAATGTCTATCAAAATTGTCTCTCAGTCCAGTCGTTAGGAATTCTAATATAGTGGCCTTGGGCCAGACTATTTTAAACCCGATGTACATCAATGTAGCTGCAGATAAGTGACAATGAAATGAGTTATGAACTGTTAGGCAGTATCACTCCTACTATGAAGTCGTGAACATTGAACAGTTTCCTTAAAATGAAGTAGAGATTTGAAGCAATAGATATGTGGTTCTACAGAAGGATACTGAGAATAATATGGACGAATCGAGTGAGCAACAAGGAAGCTTAAAGGTAAATAGGACAAAAAGTAGACTGCTTAGAATCAGAAAGAGACAGTTGAAATTTTTCGATAAACATATTGAGGAAAGAAGACTTGGCGAATCTGACACTCACAAAACATACCAAGAGAAAGTGGGTGAGCAAAAATCATCGAGTAACCTACCTAACGAGCTTGTGTAAATGGCTGACAGAAAAGGAACTGGGAGTGATAGTAAAAAGTCCAATATTACTAAGAGTAAGAAAGGATAGAATGCTAGAGAGAACCATGATTCCACACGCCCTGAAAGGAAACTGCACATAGACGCTCGTCTATTTTAACCACAGGCCGAGCGAGATTTTGCGTTTGGAATATAGTAAGCTTAGCTCTGTACAGCGCAAAGCTAAATGCGTGAGATGGAAATAGTAGAAAGATCGTGTAACGCCAAATGTAAGAATAAACTAGATAGAACTTGATTATATAATCTTAAATTTGACGACGAGGTTAATGCGTTTATACTCAAAATGCCTTTCTATACGTAAGGTATTTATGGGAAAGTTGTTTTCCAAAATACAGGTTGACCCCAAAAAATGGGAACATTTTAACAATCCAATAAAACCAAAAGTGATGGAAGAAAAATACTTTATTCATAGTAATTGAAACCTTAAAACATGCCATTTAAGAAACAATGATAGAATTTTCCTTTTTTTTTAAATTACGTCCTGTAGATGGATTCTTGAAATCTGCTGTTGAGATTCCTCATTGACTGCTGCAACATCTCAGCTGGGATACTGTGAATTTCATCTTGAATTCTAAATGGCGAAATGTTTACTTGCTCAAGGTCACTGTCTCGCAGTGTTGCCACTTGCTCATATCTGGCAATACGCACTTCAAAAATTCCCATTTTTTTGGGTCACCCTGTATTTACACACCGACTCTGTTTTAAAAACCGTTGTGGCATGCCAGTAACTAGATACTATATTAAGATAACTGTTAATAGGTAAGAATGTAAAGAGGGGAAGATTGGCACCTATAAAAAGAGCATTATTGCGAAACGAATGTTAACTGGATTTCATCCTCTTTTCACCGAATTTAGTGTTATAACCATAATGCTACTCTCGATATCCGTTTGCATAGAACATCAATATTCGACATCTTGTCTTTTGCATAAGTAAAAGCGAGGATTTCGAAAATTGATTTTCTATTCTGGTATCGGTGTAAAACACCAAACTTTTTTCAGCCAGGAGATAGATCATAAGGATTTTATTTTTGTTGTTATTCCGGGTAAGCTAATCAATAAGAATTGTTCTAGAGGAAGGAAGTTTTGGAAAGAACCCGCTCCTAAGTGGTCAATCCAAAAGCCACAGAAAGTCTTTTCTAGACAAGGCATAAATTACGTATATAATTGTCCTGTTTTTTTTATC